CCCCCTGCCCCGTCGCCTTCCCCCGGCCAGGCGGCGGCAGCGTCGGCCAGCGGCCCCGGTGCACTGGCCGAGTTGTGCGTCGACGCCACCGTCATGCTGGCAGGATCTGACCTGCGCCGGCTGCAACAGCGCGGCCTCCTCGGCGGCTTGCTGGCCGGAGCCAGCCAAGCGGCGGTGCCCTTCGCGGCCCTCGCTCCGCTTCTTCCCGGCGCGGGCGCAGCGCCCTCTGGCAGCCACCTCGCCGCGGGCGATGGGCTGGGGGGGGACACCGGGCGTGCACCGGTCCGGCGCTCTGCACGCCGCGCATCCGGGGCAGACCCGGGCGAGCCGCCTGACGAGGCAAACGCCGCGGCAGCAGCGGCTGGGGACCCTGAGCTGACTCCTGCCCAGGCCACCGCAAAGATGGAGCTGCAGCAGCACGCGGCCTCTATGGGGCGCTGCCTCTTCTTCCACGCGCAATACGATGCGGCCCTGGGGGTAACCCTGGTTTTCCGCACCGCTACCGGGGAGGAGGGGTCCGCAGTGCCGCTGAGGGTCATGGACGACAGCGGGGCCTCGTGCAACCTGATGTCGCGTGCGTACGCTGAGCGCATTGGCGCAGCCACGCGCCCCGTGGCGCGCCGCATTTACGGGTCCACTGGCGGCAGCTCGTCCACGAGCACGGGCGTGGTAGCAGACCTGGTGGTCGCTGCAGGCACAGCGCAGGAGAGCAGGGTTGAGCAACAGCTATTCCTGCTGGTTGATGGGGTCACCCTCTTTGACGTGCTGGTGGGCAACAGGATCACCCGGTTCGGGCCCCTGGAAAGTCACGTGGACGGGAAAACGCACCGCTACCACTACACGACCAGCCAAGGCGGCCGGGCGACCCTCCCCATGGTGGCGTTAGACGCGGCCACGAGGGACGGTTCTGCGCAGGCAGCCGCCTCCTGGGCGGACCTGGCAGAATTGTACGGCTGGCCCGCGCATGCCATGGCTGCAGGCAGCGAGTGGGAGGTTGCGCTGGCCACAGCTGCGGACAAAGGACCCCCGACGGCAGCGCCCTCAGGCGCGGACGACGAACTGCGCGCGATCCTGCAGCTCCCGCCCGACGCCGCCTTGGAGCGTAGGCTGGCAGCCTGCGCGGCGGAGCTGAACGCACGGGACCATTGGGCTGCCTGCAGCGCCACACCCATCGTGCCCTACTTCGCTGCCGAGGAGGACCCCCTCACCCGGTGGGAGGCAGCCTTGGAGGACCCCAGGATTGGGGGTACCCTGCGCGGGCTGTGTAGCGGCTTCTGGTGGGACAACGCAGTCGAGTGCCTGGAGGAGGTTGTGGTGTACGGCCGGCCTGTTTACACCCCCGCAGACGCGCCTTGCGACGTCGAGGAGCTAACCCTCCTGGGCTGGGCTCAGAACCTGGTCGAGTACCACCGCCCTGAGCTGCTGCCGCTATGGAGCACGGAGGCATCGCGCCTGCCGCGCCCTGTGTACCTGAGACGGCCCCTGACGGTGCAGCCGTGCGGGCCGCTGCTGGGCGAGGAGCCCCCCGACCGCCTGCCCGGCTGCGACTCGGCCCCCACCGCGCCGGCGGCTGAGGACGGGACGCAAACCGGCGCCGGGGCGAATGCTGACCGCCTGCCCGGCTGCGACTCGGCCCCCACCGCGCCGGCGGCTGAGGTCGGGACGCAAACCGGCGCCGGGGCGAATGCTGACCGCCTGCCCGGCTGCGACTCGGCCCCCACCGCGCCGGCGGCTGAGGACGGGACGCAGACCGTCGCCGGGGCGGATGCTGTGGCGGCCGACGCGCCAGCAAGCGCAAGCGCAGGGACCGAGCCCGCGGGCGCTACCACGCCGTCGCCTGAGGCCAACCCCCCCAAAAGGGCGGCTGAGGGCTGGTGGAAGACCCAGTGGGGGCGTCGCCGGACGTGCTGGGAGGAGCCACAGGACGCCGTGGCCTGCTTCCTCTCTGAGGCCGCCCCAGCCGCCCGCTGGGGGGGAGTAGCGCTGCTGCTTATGAACGTGGTGCTATGGCACATTCTGAGCGAGCAGTGGCTCTCCGCCAGCTTGGGGGCGGTTGCTGCCTCGGCATGGGCCTGGCAAGGCGAAGCTTGCTTCCGCACCCTGGCGCTGCCAGTGGCACGCCTGGCGTGGCATTGCGTCCAGAGCAGCCTGTGGGCAGCGCAGGCGGTGGAAGCCGCTCACCGCGTCCTGGTGTGGCGACCGCTGCGCTGCCTGGCCGCCGGCATCGGGTGGTGGGTGCGGAGCGCCGCCCCTTATTCCCTCCCGCCCAGCAGGGCACCCCCCCAGGGCCTCCTGACCCGGCATCACGTGCGCCTGCGCAAGCGCGTGGCGCGTGTTGCGCGCGCTCCGGGCCGCCTGAAGAACAACCGTCAGAAACATCGGGTTGCCGCCTTTCCTCGCACCCGCGCGAACGCCCCGGTACCGGCCTTGCGCGTGGCGGGCACGAGCCGACCGAGGCTTGCTTTGGCAGGGCTGACTCTCCTGGCCCTGCTTGCCGCCGGTGCCATCGGCCTGAATGCAGGGACTCTGTTTGCGCACACCGCCCCGTCCGCGCTGCCGGGCGCCGTCGCCGCCCTCGGGCTAGTGGGCGCCGCGCAGGGGCCCGCGGTGTGGGCCAACGCGACGGTGTCTGCTTTCGTGCCGGACGGCGCGTACCTGCCCCCGCCTGGCACCCATTATACCAAGGACGATCAGTTTGGGTGGCTGTATGGCAATCACCGCGCGTTCACGCCTGACCACCTGGCTGAACTGCAGCAGACAGTGCGCTCCCTGAAGCACTGCTTTGCCTTTGAACTCTCTGACCTCACTGGGTACACCGGGCCCATGGGCGACTTCCGCATACGGCTTTCTCATGATCGAGCCATCCACGAGGGCCCCAGACGTTGTTCCCCCGCCGAGCTACAGGTGCAGCTCAAGGCTGTGCGCGAGTGGCTGGCGGCCGGGTTCTGCGAGGTGTGCGTGGTTAACGGCCGATACGCCTGCAACATGGTGGTGGCGGCTAAGAAGGACGAGCACGGGGAGTGGACGGCTCTGCGCACGTGCCACGACCTGAGGCGCCTGAATGCGGCTACCCTGCGGGAGGAGCACGGGCTGCACCACGTTGACGACCTGTTCCAGTGGCTAGGGGGCAAGAAGATATACACGAAGCTCGACCTGCGCTCGGGGTTCTATCAGATCCCTATTGCGCCAGAGGACCGCGATAAAACCGCTTTTTGGTGCGACCGCGTCCTGTACCGGTTTGTGCGCATGCCCTTTGGGCTCAAGTGCGCCCCCATCTTCTTCCAGCGCGCGGTGGACTGCTGCTTAGCAGAAGGCAATTGCATGGACTGCGCCCGCGGGTTTATAGATGACATCATCATTGCCAGCGACACCCCCGAGGAGCACGTGCGTGACGTGGCACGGGTGCTCGAAGCCCTGAACAAGCACGGCTTGAAAGTTCACCCCCACAAGAGCGTGTTCGGGGCAGAATGCGTCGAGTACCTTGGGCACAACGTGAGCCGGTACGGTCACTCCCCGACAGAGGCCAAAGTGGCGGCTATCCAAAAGATGCCCGCCCCCTCCAACGTGTCGGAGCTGCGCGCCGTTCTGGGCCTCCTGTCCTATTACCGCTGCTACTGCCGCGATTTCGGGGCCATCGCTGCGCCCCTGACTGCGCTCACCGCCAAGAACTGCCGGTGGGAGTGGGGGGCCCCGCAGCACCAGGCGCTGAGCGAGCTGAAGAGCGAGATCTGTGCGCCAGGCAAGGCGTTGCGCCCCATTGATTACTCCCGCCCTATCTTCCTGCACACCGACTGGTCTTGTAAGGGCATAGGTGCCGTGATCGGCCAGAAGGACGCCGATGGGCAGGAGTACATGTGCGCATGCATCTCCCGCTCTCTGAACGCTGCTGAACAACGGTACGAAGCATCCAAAGGAGAAATGCTCGCAGCCGTCTGGGCCATCAAACAGTTCAGACCCTTCCTGTATGGGGTCCCCTTCACGCTGGTCACGGATCACGCCGCGCTCAAGTGGCTTTTCACCAACCCGCACGTGACAGGGCAGTATGCACGCTGGGCCGCCATCATTCAGGAGCACGAGCTGGCCATAGAGCACCGCCAGGGGCAAGCCCACCAGAACGCAGACGCCCTCTCCCGCCTGCCGCTCCCTTGCACACATGACGCGTCGGGCGCGCGGCTCGACCCAGAAGCACCTCTAGCAGCGCTAGCGGCCTCGATCGTCTGCGGGGGGGGAAATGAGCCCACTACCGGGCTTGCCCACGCGCTTGCCTTGATGGCCGGGCCCACACACGAGCAAATGATGGCGGATCCAGCAGCAGAGGCGAGCGCTGTGATGGCTACCTGCTTGGAGCAGGCCCTGGCCACGGGCACCTCCTTTATCGACACCTACGCCCCCACCTCATTTAACCTCTTCAGCGGGCACAACGGCTCACTCCTCGACCTGGGCGAAGTGGAACCCTGGGCGGACGAGCCAGCCGCAATGACAGCCAGGGAGCGTATGCACCGCAAGGCTGCCAAGTGGGTGCGAGAGGCCATGCAAGCGGACGCGCCGGCTCAGCCTTCGGCCCCGCTGGCTTGGCGCCCTGAGCCAGGCCCGGCAGATGTCCTTGGAGTGCGGCCTACGAGCTCGCTCAACACCACCCCCCTTGCGCCCTCCTTCTTTGCCAAAGCCTTGGAGGAAGGGATCGTGCTGTTCGAGCCCTTTGGGGGCTTGTGCGCGGGCCTCGAGATGGTCCTGCGCGGGGGCGTGCCTGTGAAGCAGTACGTGTATTGCGACAACCACCTGCCCTGCCAGGAGGTAGCGCGGCACAGGGTGGCAGCGCTCGCGGCCCGCTACCCCAGCCTGCTATCGCTGGACGCCACCGCGCGCATGCTCTCGATCCCCCAGGACGTGCGCCTGATCGGTGCTGCAGAGCTGGCGGCGGCCGGCGCACTGAACGGGTCCCAGTGGATGGTGGTGGCAGGCTGGGAGTGCCAAGACCTGTCGGCTGCAGGCTCCGGCAAGGGGCTGCAGGGCCGGCGCTCTAGCACTTTCTACGACCTGCTGCGCATAGTGGGCGCACTGCAGCAACTGCAGCGGAGCCGGCCGCCTGCTTATCTGCTGGAAAATACTCACATGCACCATTCTAAGGGGACCGTGCAGGCAATCGACTACCCCGAGATCTGCAGAGCCCTGGGGCGGCCAATCTCCCTGGACGCCGCTCAGTGCGGGTCCTACGCCCACCGCCTGCGCAACTACTGGACCAACCTCGCCGACTCCGCGGTGGTAGCACATGTGTTCGCAAAGGCCGTCAGGCGGGCGCCCGACCTCTACGTGGACTCCATCCTCGATGAAGGGAGAGTGACGCGCCCTGTCCAGTTCACCACGAGCAGCTCCCCGTCAGCGCCTTGGTATGTGTGCAACAAGGGCTCAACGCAGAACCCTGGCAAGCGCTGTGCCCTCCCCACGCTGATGGCCACCCAGCGGTCGTACAGCTTCAGGGATGGCAAGGCCGGGTGCATTTATCAAGCCGGCACGCACCCCTTGCAGCTGGCCGATCCCCCGGAGCCGAACGCGGACGAGCGTGAACGCGCCCTGGGGTACGAAACCGGCGCCACGGCGGCGCCTGGTGTGAGCACCGCCCAGCGGCATCGTATCACCGGCGGGTGCATGGACGCCAACGCCTTGGAGCACTTGTTTGCCATCAGCCTGTATGTGACCCGCTGGGCCTGCCCCCCTGCCCCGCCCGAGAGCGGCCGGGTGACGTCACCAGTAGCCGCGGGCCCGGCCGGCACGCCAGCGGCCGCGCCCCTCGAGTCATTCCAGCCATGGAGCGACGCCGCCTCCGCCGCCCAGCACGCCCTTGCCGCGGCGGCCGAAATTGGCGAGACGGGCCGCGACATCTGGGAGGATGAGGCTGCTCTGCAGTACCTGCGCTCGCGGCAGGTGCCGGAGGGCGCCACAGACGCCGAACGGCGGCGGCTGCAACGCCGCGCCCAGAAGTACACCTGGCAGTCCGGCCGCCTGTATCGCCGCATGGCTGACGGCTCGGTGCGCGTGGTGCCCACACCGGACCAACGGGCCGTGCTCGTGCAGCAGACCCATGAGGGGCTGGGGCACCTGGGTACAAAGCGCACCGCAGCGCTCGTGGCCTCGAAGTTCTGGTGGCGCGGCATGTATGAGAACGTGACTGCGGTGGTCAGCACCTGCGAACCATGCTCCCGCGCCAAAGCTTCCTTCAATCAGAGCCAGCCGGAGCTCTGCCCTCTCCCAATCAAGGGCCTCTTCTACCGCTGGGGCGTCGATCTCGCCGGACCGTTCCCCAAAACCGCCCGCGGCCACGCTTACGCCATGGTGTGCATAGAGCATTGGTCAAAGACGGTGGTCATCACCCCAATCCCTGACAAGGAGGCGGCGACGACTGCGTTCGCGTTTCTGCACAGCGTCCTCGCCCGATTCGGCGCTCCCGCTGAGGTGCTCACCGACCAGGGCTCAGAGTGGTGCGATGAGTTTCAAAGGCTGCTGACCGACACCTTTGTTGACCACCGCTCCACCAGCGCCAGCCACCCCGCCAGCAACGGCCTCACGGAGAGGGCAGTCCAGACCCTGAAGGGCGCCTTGGCAAAGCACTGCCTCGCTGAGGAAAGCACGGCCGACTGGGACAAGTACTGCGCGTGGCTCGCCCTGGGTTACAACTGCAGCCCGCAAGAGTCCACCCGCCTGGCCCCCTACCACGTCCTGTTCGGTCGCGCCCCCGCCATTCCGGCGTCAGTCCAGGCGGTCATCGCCGCCCCTTTGAGCTTTGACGACCCCCTGGCGGTGACGCTCGACGTATTGCAGCGGGCCGAGGCTGTGCGCCGCGCCTGCCCCGCCATCGACGAGAATCTAGCCATCGCCCAGCACAGGGACACGCAGCGGTACCAGGCGGTGCGCAGTGGCATGTACGTGGGCGGCCAGGGCCCGCCGCTCGCTGCGGGCGACTTTGTGTGGCTCAAGCGCCACCAGACCAGCAGCACCCTACAGACAGGCACCATGCCCCCCATCCTCCGCGTGCAGAAGGTCTGGCCCGCGGGGATGCTCACCCTCATGGGCAAGTGCGGCCGCACCCTTAAGGCGCACGCCTCACACTGCGCGCGTTGCAGCCTCCCGAACATCGACCCGACCGTCAACCCGGCTCTCCAGCCGTACGACCGCAATTTGCAGTGCGAGGTGTGCCACAGCCCTCAGGGGGAGGCCTCCCTGCTGCTCTGCGACGGATGCGGCCGGGGCTGGCACAACGGTTGCTTGGCGTCTCCCCTGACCGAGATACCCCCGGCTGAGGAGGTCTGGGTGTGCCCAGACTGCCTGGCCAGTGGCGTCACAGAACTGGAGGCGGCCGGTCGCCGTGCTGCGGCCGGTCCAGAAGCCAGGCTGCCCGAGGGCGTCGTGTTCCCCAACGCCCGTGCCCGCCGATACCTGCAAGAATGCGCGGAACTAGAGGGTCGCGTCGTGGCCAAGCAGTTTGCTCATCCAGTCCACCAGAAGCCCCACACCTACTGGGGCCGCGTCCACTTCCGAGGCAAGGAAGCCCGCCCCGAGTATTTTCTGGTGAGGTACACGGACGGTGACGAGGAGACCATGACGCTGCGCGAGCTGCGAAAGGTGTTGAAGCCCGACGGCGCCCGTATCCCCGCTTCCGCTTACAACGAGCCCTCCCCGGCTGCGCGCCGACCGTCCCGGCGACCGCGTGGCGCCGTCGCCAACGTCACCGCCCCCACCTGGGTGGCAGACCGGCTCCACGCGGGCATGCCCGGCACGTGGCCGCAGCCCAACCAGGACCGCGTCGCGGCCGCGGCCGAGGCGTACCTGCGTGGCGACCTACCAGCCCTGCCCTACCGCCCTGCAGCAGTGGAGCCCCTCCTGGCTGCAGTAGATTTGCCGGCGTGTCTCACCGTCGCCGACCCCTTTGGTGACCACGCAGCGATTGCCTCTGGCTTGACCAAAGCGGGCATCAGCATGGTGGTGGATTAGGATTAGGATTAGGATTGTTACAGCGTCCCGCGGT